CAACCTGGGTCAGGGCCTGCCCACCCTCACAGCCAACAATTCCTTCCCAATATCCAACCTAAATCTCCCCTTTTCCACTATGAAGCCGTTCCCTGTGTCCTGTCCCTCCATCCCTTGTTCCAAGTCCCTCTCCAGCTCTCCTGGAGCCCCTTCAGGCCCTGGAAGGTCTCTCCAGAGCCTTTAATCCCCGAGTTGTGCCTCAGTTTCCACAGAATTGGGTGTTTCCTCAAAACTGCTCCTCTTGAACTGAATTACTGAGAACATCTGAGGCAGAGAAAATAGGAAACCACAGCTCACACCCACTTTGTTCTGCCTCAGATGTGTTTTCCTGTTTATCCATCACCTGAACTCCACAGTGACAAAAAAAAAATCATTAAGATTTTATCACCAAGAACCACAACCTCTGCATTTTATCTTTGAAGTGATGCTGGTTAATGGTACAACACAACCAGCTCATCAAGTGGAGGTGATTCTCCCACGAAAGGTCTAAAAAATTCCCCAAATCCTCAAAAATATCCCTGATTAGACTCTCCAGGTTCATACCCAGACAAGCTGCAACAGTTACTACAACTCAGGTGTTTTATTGAGGGTTTTTTTTGCGGTACAAAACAAGTAAATTTTCTACAAGACAGGAATTAAAAAAATAATAATAATAATAATAAAAAAAAAATCATTGTTCAAACCCATTGAAAATAAATATATAAAGCTTCTATTCCAATCAGGGAGCTAGAAATATATTATGAACTGAGTTTTTCCAGACTGTGTTGACTTTGGAAGTGCTTAAAACCACTACAAAACCCCCCCAGGCATTTGTTTAAAACCCTGACATTCATCCCAAATCACTGATTCTTAAATAGGGCAAGATTAGATCAGTACAAAAGCGACCCAATACCACAAAAATTGGAGCTGTGGAAGCATTTCCCTGCATTTTTGTCTCTTCCCCATCATGTGCTGGAACACCCCAGGCTGGTTTGAAGGGATCATTCCATCAGTTCCAAGGCACCTTCTTCCCTAAGACACGGTTGGTGATTTTCTGCAGGGAAAAACAAGAGAGACAAGAGATGAGTTTTGGTGCTTTGAAGGTTCCAAATGCTGAGCAGGGAGATATTCCTCAGTTTTCTGAACAGAATATCATGGAATCAAGGAATGGTTTGGGTTGGAAGGGACTTTCAAGCCCATCCAGTTCCAACCCCCTGCCATGGGACACCTTCCACTAGACCAGGATGCTCCAACCTGGGGATTAAAGGGTAATAAAACACTACAAAATGGGAATTTATTTACACCTTTTAGGACACCTAAAGCAGCCCAGTTGTTTCTCACTCATTCCCATGAAAAAAAAGCAGGATAATCCCATGCTGGCTGCTGTGGGAATGGTCAGGAACAAGCCTAAACAAATACAAAATATCTTGGAATTAGCTGAATATCCGTGATCATGTCTTCCCTTCACCTGCTGAGTAGAAACTTCTGGGAGTCACCTGTTCCCAAATTTGTGATGTATTTAGGAAAGGACCTGGGAGAAGAGCAACAAGGGCAGTGGAAGTTACAGAAAGTGTTTTCTACAACAAACAGTGGAGTAAATTCGGAATCTGCTGGGAAGGATGAAGGGGAGGAGATGGAAGTCTTGTACAATCCTGAAGGTGAAAAGTTATTTCCAAACTCTTCCAAAAATAAGCTTAAAAAGAAAAAGGTAATAAATTTGAAAAGAACAAACAAACACAGAATATTTGGTGGAGGGGTGGAGTTGGATGGGCTTTAAGGTCCCTTCCAACCCAAACCAGGCTGTGATTCCATGATTTTTCCCCTTACACCTCCCATTATTCCTCAGAGCTTCCAAATCTTCCCAAATCTGCTGTGGAATTGTCTCCCAGCTCCAGAACAAAGTGCTTTTCCCTTTGGGGCAGTGACACCTTGTGGTCCCTTTCTTAAATAAAATAAGGTTCCTCAATGCTAATATTGTGTTGCCTTTTTTTAAGGGATAGAGGGAAGCACAGAAATCAATTGTTATCCCCTTTATGGAGGCTTTTCCCATATTCCCTATTTATTAAAATTACAAACTCACTCCATTCTAGTGGAAAAGGCTCAGTTATGGATAAAATTTGTACCTGATAAACTCATAAAATCCATTTTTGCTTCACTGGGGTTCAGAGAGTTCTGATTTCTGCCACCATCAGATCAGGAATCCGTTCCCACTCCAGAGTTTTCCAAATTTAAGGTCCATTCCCTGCTCTGACTGGGATGATTTTATTTGAAATTCAAAGTACAAAAGCAAAGGGATGCTGGGGCAGAACATCAGCCCAGATCCACGTGCACCCTGTGACAAAAATAACTCTGCTATCTTAATAAAGATAATTATTTCACAATTTCAGAAATTAAGAATGTCTGAGTCAGTTTCTAGCCCAGGAATTTTGATGTCTCCAGTTCTGTGTGAGCCCAACGATCCCATCCTCACTCAGGGTCAACAAAACTGGTTTTTTATTCTCTCTTCACCTCCCTCTGAGCCAGAAATGCCTTAAAATTGTCACAGAAATGCCTTAAAACAAGCCCTGAGAGCTTTAAACTTTCCCAGGTGTCCCGTGGGAATATTTTCACTGGGGCTTTACAAAAAGTAAGCAAATTTTGTTCATATATATTCACTAATTTGGGCTCTTGGAGTCAAACAAACTCAGTTTCAGCTCATCCCTCAACCTGGACATTAAGCTTGTTATTCCCAAGAAGTCTCCAAGGCCAGGTTGGACGGAGTTTGGAGCAACCTGGGATAGTGGAAGGTGTCCCCATGGCAGGGGGTTGGAATGAGATTCATTAATTCATTGCTTCCTTTCCCAAATTTTAATCACCCTCTGTGAGCCCTCAAGGCCCTGTAGAGACGACACACCCTCTGGAATGCTGGAGAATCCCACTCTTGGAGCAGCAGGAGAGGCTGAGGGAGCTGGGGGGGCTCAGCCTGGAGAAAAGGAGGCTCAGGGGGGACCTTCTGGCTCTGCAAC